GTGCACCAAGCAGCCAAACTATAACAGTGCGCGTAAATGAACAGCACGCCTGGCACAAACTGGTACGCATAGCGAAACGCTTTTACAAAAGTATATGAGTCACGTGGGAGTCAGTGACAATACATAATGGTAGGCCCTACCTTGAATGTATGATTACAACTGAGCAAGACATCCGCGCGTAACCATGTGTTTCCCTTGGCTTCTGATAGAGAGTATACTAGCTCATCATCGCACGCATAGATGTTCAATGTGACGTTGAAATTCACTGAATCGCCCTCGACGACGTAGTAGTAGAATGACATGTATCCCATACCACCACTCAGCTCTATGGTGGGAGAAAATACCCGCGCTGCCGTCTCTGTCGTTGAATTTTCCGCAAACAAATGAAAGTAATGGCCTGTGGGAAAAAAAGTAGGCCTATTAACAAGAGGGTGGTATTATTATAGAGGTTGCAACTTTGGCAAGACGTGGCTTTTCTCTGTCACCAACATTGAAACGAAGATCACAGAGCCCATCTTTACGGTGTAATTAGGGTGTTGTATTCAAGAAATTCCAGTTTCGACGTATGTCTAGCTGGTTACGAATTGGCGGCAGACGGTTACGAAATGTCCGTGTTACAACAAATTTACGAAAAAGTCTGCCACTCAAAGTATTAACACGTGGTATCATGCTACCATAGGCTTACGTACACCCGGTACCACGCATGAATACCCGTACCCATTAGAGCGTGTACCAATCCTACAGCTGTCATAGTGTCATCACTAGCACCTGCTCTTAAGAATGTGTCATTTTCACAGGTAATAACATAAACATACATCAATGTATAGTTTGTACACGCAAAAAGTGAAAGTATGATTTATAGCTGGATCCCGGATGACGCATTTATGTTGTTTTTTTATGGTGAACTATGTATGACTGTAGAAGTCTATCCTTTCAAAAAACAATTTATAAAATGGATGTATTGATTACGAATGTTACATAATAATATTAACAAAAGAATATATGTCATATATTTTCGTAAAAACTATATAGGCCTAGGCCTATATATATATTATATTATAAATTATATTATGTACATACACAGTATCTATTTCTCCGTGGTCCAGTCTAAAAAAGACAGCAAACATGTTAGTTTAATTAGGCTTAGATTATGATATCAATATGCAAAATACTCAATATATTATTCACAATTAACCTATATAGTGAACATACTACATACACTTATGTATTAGTTGTAAAGAGAAATTAAAGTACTGAAGAGTAACAACATTTTAATAAATATGTAGGTCTAGGTATTATTTTGGTAGAATGTTGGTGATAATGATCGGTGGGGGAATATGATAAACGGTGGGGGACCTGCGAAGAATTAAGAAAAACGAATGTAAAAGAGCGTTCACGACTTTCTTCTCATTGATCAATATCACAAGAAGGGGAAGACAGTGTATTACGCCGCTGACGAATACCCGTTATAATCCCGGGTGCCCCTTACGCTATTCGATCCAGACATACTATTAAACTTGTTAAACTTAGAGACGACTACATCAGGACGCGTTCATTCACTTCAAATAATTTCCTTCTGAAATCATTCATAACATTTTGAAATGAACATATGAGATAACGGAGAATTTATTAGATAATTAGCTACACGAATATGGTCAGTACTGATCAAGTATTCTGAGCAAAAAAAGCAGCAACGACACATAAATATATCAAAAATTGTTTTGTCTAATATCGTATGCAATGTTCAAGATATTTGTTTTTGCAAAAAATACGAGTGTTGCTAGGCCTATATAAAAAAAATACATTACTCATAAAACATTTACAAAAAAAGACAAAAGTCGTACAAATTTCACAAAAAATAATAGTCATATAATACGGTATTATAAAACTCAATATTAGAACTACAAAATGCAATTAGGTCTCAACATTTACAAATTGTAAATATGATAGGCCTTTAATGAACGTTTTAAAAATATCAGAAAGACATAATTATATACAATCAACATTTAGAAAACAGAAATACTCAACAAATTAAGATTAAAACAGCGAAGTGGCAAATTGCATGAGATCTAAGAATTAAAAACAAACAGAATCAAAAGGTGCTTAAACCTAAATAGGGCACATCCTACATTGTTTTTTTATAAAGTAAAAATATTGGTTTATAGAGGCACTCCCATAGATCGAGTCTATGTGCAAATAGATCAGCAATTCAAAGATGAACACCATGATTTTTATAATTTTTAGCTTCTATGTGGTTCAATCCACTGTTATTTTATTAGTTTTCTCATACTTGTTTATATTTTCCTTCTTTAATTGTACAAAAATAATATGCTCTTTACAGTATTCCATTAACTATTTATAAATGTCCTCTTTCTTTATTGTAGTTACTTCTCTGAGACGTATAAATGTAGTAACTTATTATCTTTACCTATTTTTGTCCCCTTTTTTTATTTACCACTGTTGACAAAAAAGTTGCAATTTCTTCTATTTTATTCATGAATATAATCCAAGAAATTTCTTTCCAGAGCCATTGCCTATAGATTATCTTAGTTTTTTTAATGCAAAATATGTTAAGATTGCAAATAATTTATGAAGTTTACTTTTATACATAAATAAAAGATTTAATGTGGAGCCGAAATTTATATACTTCATTGAACTAACCGTGAAATGTTAATATTCGAATAATTGAGTCACTTTCTAAAAAAATTGTTATCTTTATTAGGCCTGTCATAGAGTGATTCTTATGGGATTATTACTATATATTTTCAGAATTTCCGCATGCAATGTAGAATATATTTCTTGTAATTGTGTATATCATTCTTTTATATACGCCTGTCGTAATTATGTCATGAGGTTTGCTATAGCGCATTTTTTATTTTGGATCTGTTCTCCTGTTAACATTCCGTACTCGACTAGTTGGTTTATTTGCTGTTTATGCTCTACAAATAGGTTGTTATTAATGAATATATATATATATATATATATATAGCGAAAGAAATTGATTGCCTTCAGAGAACGTGCCTCATGGTATGTATAGATGAAAGAAATAGTCGGAAGCTTGGATGGAACACGTTTTGTTCCATCCAAGTCTCCGACTATTTCTTTCATTTATATATATA